CTGGATAGGGTTGCCAACTCTCCAGGATTGGCTTGGAGTCTCCAGGAATTAAAGATTAATCTTTAATTAGAGATATCATGTGATGAAATCTCCAGGACTACAACCAACCGAAATTGGCAACCCCTACCCCTGGGTTCTAGCCCCATCTTGGAGGGCGGGGTGTCTAGCGGTTGGTTGGGGGGGGGGGCTGGGAGTCAAAACTCCTGGGATCTATCCCCCGCCTTGGGAGGAGGGGTCTAGTGGTTAGGATGGGCGGGGGGCTGGGAGCCAGGACTTCTGGGTTCTGTCCCCAGCCCTGGGAGTGGGGTCCAATGGGTTAGAACAGGGAGGCTGGGAGCCAGGACTGATCCCTGACCTACCATGTCATCTTGACTGCTTCGCTGGGCCTCAGTTTCTACTCCTGCCCTTTATCTGTTCAGACCGTGAGGTCCTTAGGCAGGGCCTGTCTCTCGCTGTGTCTGGGCAGTGCCTGGCCCAACAGGGCCCTGATCTCAGCCGGGCAGGACCTGTCTCTCCCTTAGGATGACCAGACAGAAAATGTGAAAAATCGGAATGGGGTGGGGGGGGGGTAATAGGAGCCTATGTAAGAAAAAGACCCAAAAATCAGGACTGTCCCTATAAAATCGGGACATCTGGTCATCCTACTCCACCCCCCCCCCCCGCCTGTCTGTGCAGCGCCCGGGTCAGAAAGAGCCAATTGGGCACATTTGCCTCGGCATCTGCAGGCTCCAGGCCGATCCCCAGGAAACTGCCCCAGCAAAGCCCCGCAGCACCCTGCAAATCAGACAATTCCCCTGGGCACGGCCAAGATGCCTCTGGCCAAGGAGACGACGGGCCCCCCACTGTCATTGCCAAGGCTGCTAATTCCCCTCAGCCCAGTCACGGCCTGGCTGGTTAAAACACCGTCTCGCCGGACGGTGCTTAAAGTGGCCGGAGAACCGGGTCCGGGGGATCTAGCATCCTCTGGGTGCAGCAGCTTTCGTCCAACAGGCCCAGACCTTCCCAGGCATTTCAGTGCCTCACTGCCACTGATTTCCAGGAATGACGGTGGATCAATATTAATAGACCTGGTGATTTCCTTGCTGGCTCTGGGACACCCTCCCCTTGCAGCCCCCCTTTTGCTCCCCACTGTACAAACCGGCTTTAAGCCCCGTCTCTCCCTACTGAGGAACAAATGTAGTATCCAAGCACGATCCCAAAGAGCTAGAATTCTGGAGACCATCAAAGTGGCTCTGAGCCCTAGAAATGCCTGCCCTGCCACTCGGGTAAAGATGCAACGCAGCCTCCAAAATCCAACGGGGGCTCGGCCACGGATCTCGTTCCCTTGATACCAACAGGTTTTCGGTTTGATGCAGTGCACAAGATTCCCAGCTTCCCAGGCCAGCCATGGGCCTGTCAGCGGAGCTGCGGGGTAACACATAACACTAATCCACCTGCCCCGAAATCTGTGTGCGAGAAGAACCTGCCTGGCTCGGAAGGGAGGGAGTGAAAAAAATAACCAGCGAGCGAGCGAGAGAGAAAAGAATGTGAAAGGCCGTGAAAGAAATAAAGGGAGAGAAAAAATGGTAGAACACAAAGGAAAGAAAGAGCATGAAAGGTAGAAGGGGAAAAAAGCAAAAGAAAGCAAGAACATGCAAGCTAGAGAAGGAAAGGAACGAAAAAGAATGAATGAACGAACATGAGTGCTAGAGAAAGCTAGAATGGGACAGTGACAGAAAGAAGGACAGACTGACCTGTTAAGCAAGGTTGCACCCCAGAATCTCCAAGTTGGGGGCACAGGCCCCCCCATTTCCATCCTGGCCTGAGATCCTTTCTGCCCTGCTTTGGGGGGACCATCCATAGGTGCCCCATGGCACCCCCATGTTCCATGGAGGGGGCGAGCGCCCCATTTCCTCCCTTTGGGTCGCGGGCTCTCCCCGATCCTGACCCCCTTCCCGCACGCTCCTGGGAACGGGGGCAGGGGGAGGTGTGTGCCTTTGTGGGGCTTTGGCTGAGCAGTGTCGTGGGTGTCTCTCTCTGGGGCGGTTTGGTTTGGGTTATTTAAGCTCAGCGACATCGACCGCCACGAACGGGAAGGAAGAGGAAATTTTTTGTACCAGAAGGAAAGAGCGGAGGGGGGGGGGCGTTTGTGGAGCCGGGGCGCGCACCAGAGAGAGGAACTGAACGCAGCCCAGCGTGAGCCCAGCGCCAGCTGGAGCCAAGACACCCGCACCTGGAGGAGCATCTCCAGAACCTACCTTGATGGTGCCGTCCATCGCTGCTCCCGCACGGAGCTCCCCGCCTAGACCTCCATGGACGAGGAGAGGTGGTGCATTGGCAAAGGGGGCCGGATGAGCGAAGCTCTGTGTGTGTGTGTGTGTGTGTATGTGTGTGTGTGTGTGTGCGTCTAATTTTGGGAAGTGAAGTCACTAACCGCCGGGGCTGGTTTCCTATTGGTGTGACCGATTTTTGCAAAGCTTTTTTTTTTGGTCTTCTTCTTCTTTTGGCGCTAGGGCTGGGTGGCTTTCTGTGCTGCTGTTGAAGAGCAGTGGCACAAGGGGCTCGGGGGGGAGAATCGGGGAGCGGGGCGGGAAGGGTGCACGGGAGGGGAGGGGTCACAGGGATAAGAATCACATTCAGCCCTTGCATAGCAATGGCCGTGCAACGCCTTTAGTATTCAGGACTACTGATCTGTACAACAGCAGCACCCAAAGAGACCGGGGCAGAATCAAACCCCCCGTTGTGCTGGGGGCTGCACAGACACAGAAACAGGCCCTGCCCCAGCTGAGATCAGGGCCCTGTTGGGCCAGATGCAGCGAGAGACAGGCCCTGCCCCAAAGAGTTTACAGGCTCCATGCCCAAAAAGTTGGGAGGAGAAACAGAGGCCCAGTGTCACTCAACAGCAGTGAGAATAGAACCCAGGAGTCCTGGCTCCTCCTGCTCTAACCAGTAGCCCCCCTCCCCTCCCAGAGTCTGGATGGAACCCAGGTGTCCTGGCTCCCAAAAAGGGCGGGAGTGGGGTCTAGTGGTTAGAGGAAGGGAAGCTGGGCGTCAGGACTCCTGAGTTCCATTCCCAGCTCTGGCTTAAAGTGGGGTCTGGTACGTTAGCACAGCTGCGGCTGGGAGCCAGGACTCCTGGGTTCTTCCCATCCCCCCCCTTAACCATCTCGCACAGCAGGAGGGGGTTGGGCAGGAAGTGGTGATGGGGTGAAAACTACCAAGAAATGCAAATCCTCGAAGGAGCCTGTGCCAGGAACAGGGTGGTGCAGAAACCTCGTCCCCCTCCCCACCTCTTATCCCCCCTTGACTGGCATTGGATCGTGCCCCCTATGGGCCCCAGGGGGCAGAGAATAGCCACAGTGCAGGGTGGCTCAACCACACCCCTAATCTGCCTGCTACGGGCCCTGTGGGGCAGAGAATAGACATGGTCCTGGGCACCCATCCAACTGAAGTGTCACAGTGACCCAAGGTGTGTGTATAGGAGGGGGGTGGTGTGTGTGTGTGTGTGTGTGTATGGATTTATGCACGTGTTTCTGTATGTCTCGGGTCCTGCAGGGGTTGTGTCTGGATGGGTGTTTGTGTAGCTGGTGGGGGGGGAGTTGTGTGTGTGGCTGTGCAGGTGTGTGTGTTCGTGAGGCTGGATTTCTGCATGTGTTTGCATCTTTAGCGGTTGTGCAAGTGTGTGGCTGGATTTGTGTGGGTGTTTGTGTATGTTAGTAATAATGTGTGTGTGGCTGGATTTGTGTGGGTGTTTGTGTATGTTAGTAATAATGTGTGTGTGGCTGGATTCATGCATGTGTTTGTGTATGTTTGCAATCATTTGCGTGTGTGCATGCTCTGCTGCCCTCTGCCAGCAGCAGCGACAACCGCTTCTCCATGTGTCACAACCCCCATACCGTCAACCCCGGTGGCGATTCCACCATCCTACAAGGGCTGGCTGGCCTGACCCTTCGCCCGTCTGCAGAGTGTGATGGGGGCTGCAGCTCACCCCCTGTCGCGCAGGAGGGCGCAGGTGCGGGGCGCTGGGCTCAGATGCACCTGGAGGGCAGCTCGGATGGGACGGGGCAGGGCCTGTGGTTTCCGTTCAGCGTTGCCTGGTGCTGGGCCATTGCACAATCCCCAGCCACGCCGCACAGTGTGCCCCGAGAGGGAGTGGGGGGCCAAGCAGATGATCCAGCACCAGGGGGGAGAGGATATGTGGTTGGGGGGAGGGAAGGCCTTGGGCTGCACCGGGGGAGTGCAGAGCAGGGGCGACAACCCAAAAACCTGCAGCGAAGGGATGGACAGATGGAGGGGGTGGGGTTGGTGGAGACAGCGAGCCTAAAGCCTAAAAGAGGAGGGGGGTCTAGTGGTTGGGAGGAGTGCTGGTGGTCGGAATTGCTGGGTTTTATCCCCAGCCCTGGGAAGAGAGTGGGGGGTCTAGTGTTTGGAGTGGAGGGGGGAGAGGCAAGCCAGGACTCCTGGGTTCTCTCCCTGGCTCTGACTCTCTCTTGTGCAATCCCTCGGCAGTTACTCAACCCGCCAGCGTGTGGGAGCGAGGGGGTGGGGCCGGGTTGCGACAGGGCCCAGAGTCCCGTGCCGCCCCTTTGTTACTCAACCAGGGGCAGGGTGGGGGATGGCCTGGGAGACCCGCTAAGAAAGGTTTCAGAGTAGCAGCCGTGTTAGTCTGTATCCGCAAAAAGAACAGGAGTACTTGCGGCAGCTTAGAGACTAACAAATTTATTAGAGCATAAGCTTTGGTGGGCTACTGCCCACTTCTTCGGATGCATATAGAATGGAACATATATTGAGGAGATATATATACACACATACAGCTCTCTGTATGTCGTATGTGAGTGTCGTATGTGAGTGTCTGGGATTGTGTGAGTCCCTTTGTGTGTCAGCTCTCTGTATGTGTGTATATATATCTCCTCGATATATGTTCCACTCTATATGCATCCGAAGAAGTGGGCAGTAGCCCACCAAAGCTTACGCTCTAATAAATTTGTTAGTCTCTAAAGTGCCACAAGTACTCCCGCTAAGAAAGGTGCTTCTGGTGGGTTTGTGTGTGGGTCACGCTGCCCCCTGCTGGATAGACCGTTCTAGATCAGACCCATGGGCGCTTTTAGCCCAGTCTCAGCCCGGGTCAGCCCCTGGGAGCCCATCCCCCTCTGTCGCCACGGCTATGTCTGTTGGTCTCTTGGAAAGGTCCATTCCCATTGGTAGCTGTCCAGTGGCAGTGAGTTCCACGGGCCTCGGCACATGCTGTGCGGGACAGGAGGTCCTTGTGTTGGGAGCAGTGGGAGTGAACTGTGTGTGGTTGTGTCTCTGAGCACGATTGTGAATATTCTGGTGTGTGATTGTTTCTCTTTGATGGGTGGGCTAATGTGTGCCCCAAGTGTGTCGTATGTGAGTGTCTGGGATTGTGTGAGTCCCTTTGTGTGTCAGCGTGTTACTGGCTGTGTGGATTTGTGTGTGTGGTAGCTGTGGTCTGTGTGTGTGTGTGTGTGTGTGTGTGTGTGTGTGTGTGTGTGTGTGTGTGTGTGTGTGTGTGTGTCGTCGT